TTTTTTTGCATCTGAAAAATTTGCATCAAATGACCTCTAGGAGGTAAAAATCAGTAATTAAATGATGGAACATTTGAGTGCTTTGTGTAATCTAGTACTGTTAGGCACTGGATGGAAAAGAGATTGGTGAGAGATGTGTTTTTCACCCATTAGAAAAACTTCTACTTTGGGTATTAGTGATAAGTAAATTGGCACTGGATTATTGAGACAGATGGGTGCTGGATTGAGTCGTTTGGACTAAAGCCTGTTTTGCACAGTGAAGGCTGGAGGACCAGGTCACGTAAGGCAAGGTCCAGAGCAGCATTTCAGGAAGTGAGTAGTGGAGAGTTTCAAATGCCACTGGGACGTAAAGTTACAGTAAGAACTAAAAAACAATAGTTATCACAACTGTATCCTCGGAAATTATCACAAACATCCCTATAGAATGCACTGAAACACGTTACTAGGTGCAGAATATCTTGGAGACCCTCAGTGGACTTTGTCTTCTGTGGCTTTTTAATGAAGCCTGGTTCCTGCCCGTTAAGGTGGAGATACATGAGAATCAGGATTCGCTGAGATTTAGGATTCCCTACTGATTTACAGAAGCTCCTTAGCCCCAACAAAGAGGTGGCGCAGACACGGTCACAGTCTACCTGCTTTCCTGAAATGCAGCTTGGGCAGAACGGGCAGCCCTCAACCAGTCATCACCGACACCTCAATGGGGAAAGCAGGGCCGAATCTTACAAGGCCCTTGTGAGAATTGCTATATTGGTATGCATTTCTTTCCTTAAATGAATAGTCCTTCTGTTAATTAGGCACCTTTTGTAAATGCAAAATTTATATTGCATCTTAAATTTGTACTGTTATCACTACTGCTGCCTCTAACTGAAATCTCTTCTTGAAAAAGTGGTCAGCGGTCTTTTACTTTGTTAAGCCTTCTCCACATTGCCCCAGGCAGTTAGCCACTTCCTCTTCTGTGCTCTGCAAAGCAGGTCATGTTATAATGATCTGTTTACAGCTCTCTCTTCCCTATTAAACTGTCCATTTGAAGCTGTTATGGCCTTGAGAGGAGAGACTTTATCTTATTCCCCCTTTTATGTGTTCTGTTCAACCACTGGTTTCCCTGTGGCGGTCCTTCTGTAAACCGTGGGTGGGTGATACAGGGACCTGAACCTCCCAGGGCCTAGAGAAGTAGTGCAGGGTGCTGGGAACTCCATAAACCAAACACGTGGTGGACTTGCTTAGCTCTCATTACTCCCGATAATCTTCCGAGATTCTTTAACAGATCTCTGCCGCTTCATCACTGTTGTTTTCCTCCTGACGGCCATATGCAGAGCCACCA